AACATACTATACAGTCTTTAACATGGGACTTGTAAGTCAACCATACATATTCACTTTTCACCATGTTGAAACCAGTCTGTTCACTGTGCTTTTGACGGCTCAGTGCAAATGTGGATGGCATTGCTACCAAAAATGGGCCTGTTTGAGACATGTCAGTTGGCAAGATCATGAAAGAAATACTACCTTGGCTGCAAGCTCTGACGGTATTTACTACGACTCCAAGTTGTTTGCTACGTACAACGCACAAACCGGCCCGTAGTGAAGTGCACTACGGCCTCGACAACGGTACGATGAGGTTTGATTTCCAAACCTCACCGTAACCGTAGTGTAGTCAATAGTACTACTAGCTCGAACCCGTCACTACGGTACGGTCGGCCCGTAGCGGACCGTACCGCAGCCACCGGAGTGACCGTAGTCAACGGCCGGCTACGCTCAAAAAAAGCAAAAACAGAAAAATTTGTATTGTAAAATAGAAAAAGGACATATTCAACAAAACAGTTGTAATTGATTAATATATTGAGGGAGAGACTATTAATGGAAGTAAAGAAAGACATTGTAATTAAAAAAAACCATAACAATGAGAAAAAATCAAACATAAACCGTAATACATGATCAAACCTCCTTGTTCTTCTTTTTTCCTTCACGCAACTCATGATCCAAGAGGTAAGTGACTGCTTCTTGAAATTTACCATCAGGGACCGCCTTATTCTTCAACCATTCTCGGCAAGCGACAGCCTGTGAGACGGTTGAAGGCTTCATCGAACCTCGGCTTGAGATGGCAATGTCGGCAGCTGAAGAAAACGTGCGCTCCACCGCGCACGAAGTCGCGGGGAGGGCGAGGTAATCCCTGGCCATAGTGGCCAAGACTGGGAAGTGCTGCTCGTTTGCCTAGATCACACTGATATCAGTACAAAGTAAATAAAATGGCAGTGATAAAAGTAAAAGCTGTACTTACTGCCCACCAGTCAAGAGGACTGGTACCTTTTCCAATTGGATGGGCTCCCTCCAGATAGTGCTTCAGTTCGAGTTGATAGTCCTGAGGAGTGTCAGTTGGTGGTCCAGCTGCAAATAAATTATCTTCTTCATCGTCACTCTCGTCAGGTGGGTTTGTCGCAACGATTTCAACTGAAGGCGCTCGCGGTTTGGGCATGCGGTCAGAATAAGTAGAAAAAATGTAATCTAATGAGGTTTCAGCTTGAACTTCAACGTCGGAGTTGAATTTTTTGATATAATTCAACCGATGTCGAGGGTTAAGAATGGTTGCGATTTGGACAACCTCGGTTCCAGCAGCTTCATTGGCATATTGTTCGAGGTACTTGAGCATTTCCGTGATCATGACGTCGAGGCTGGGGTACGTGCTGTTCTTCTTGAGTTCTTTCAATTCATTCTGAACCTTGCGATATTCGGAAAGAACTTTGCATCCTGAGGCAAAGTCACCTTCCATCCGTTTGGTGGCCCGCTCAAATACCTATTTGAAGTGTAGATCAATCAAGATGATACACAGTCACTGTCGCAGATATAAAAAAAACCGACCTCAAGGACTTTGTTTACCTCGCGGACTGCATTCCACTCTTCTTCTGAGATGGTCAATCCCCGGAAAAAGCGATTCGTTTTTGAATCCGTGTGCAGCATGCCGTTTATAATCTGTAAAGGCAGAAGAAAAGCATAAGAGAGATATTGAAGAAAAAAGTCGAAGAGGGAAAATACTAACCTCATGTCCAGCCGCTGCGCGCCTTCGGCTATCGGCCTTTGCATTCCACCGGACACCCCATCCATGAATGATACTTTTCAGCCCTTGTGCTTTTGCACGTGTGTTGAACCATTGTCGCTTTGATGAGCTTGAACATATCAACGATACAACCTTATCAACCTGGAACGTAGGATGTAAAAGTCAGCTGAATCGAGTCTTCAGTGTTGAGACAGTTGGCTGCGTAGGAAACTGACCTTTAATAAAGCCCGTTTAACCAGTTCGGTCGTGGCTTCTGGTTCCTCAGCTACTGAATCATCTTCTTCACATTCAGGAGCTGTGGGTACCAATCCCGCAGCATCCTCATCAGAAGATGAGGGTACGTTGACATCGTCGTCACCAGTGTTGAGGATGATGGTGGGTAATGGGATGGTGGCTCCTGGTCGAGTGGTAGGCTTCACGTGACCCACCGAGATATTAATCGTCTTGAGTCCATGCTTCACCACAAGCGCCAGCTTATGGCAGTAACATCGAACGTGGTTCGACGCTGAATCCCAATAAATTGAATCCTCGGCGTTCTTGAACATCTTCTCGAGTTCGTCGGCCATGGTCTTGTTGTTGGAACCTGAATCCGTGGTTTGTGCCAAGACCTAGAGCAGAGAGGGAAAATAAGAAAGATAATAGATCAGAGATAGTTAGAAAAAGGTGAAAGAAAGAAAGAAATACAACAGACCTTCTTGTGAAGTCCATGTTTAATCAGGAACTTCCCAACCGGTCTGGCAAGCAGGGCACCACAGTGGTGCCAGGTTGCCAATTTCAAAGTAAGATGGCTCGACCAATACTTCCACTTTGAATCGATCCAAGTTGCAGTGACCCCGATGAAAGCTAGTCGGTTTCCTTTAGTTGTCCATCCGTCGTGGACAAGACAGATTTTACCTTGGTTATCCTGAAGTGAAACAAACAAAGTTCTATTTAGCAAGGAGACGAATGAAATAGAAAACTTAATAAACAAAGCATACCTTGATATTGACGATCAGCTGATCATATAATGAAGTATATAACTCCTTTGTGGTAGTAGCTGCCCACGTTGGGCTCCTGATATCAGCCTTGGGATGGGTAAGGTGGAAGGCTGCCCGGAGGGTTGGGTCTTGAAATCGAACCCAAGGAAGGGCATGTCTCAAAAGCCATATGACGAGTAAGACATTGAGAATGTCGATGTTGAAAGGGGGACGGTTGACAAATGATTTCATCAAGGCAGCCGATGATGATTCGGTTGCAGTCTCTTCAGCTTTCTTGTTTCGTTCTTGGTATGTAGGAGGAAGACCATGGTCTTTCTCCTGCATTGCATTGATGTGGCCTCTGCAAGGATCCCGGTTCTTGTCGCCGTCTCGATGGCCGTATAAGTTGCTGTTTCCGTCTAAACCACGTGCAAATGTCTCGGGACAGTATTTGCACTCGTATCCACGTAGCACGCCTATTGGCTGTTGAGAAAATAAGTCAGTTCTTTATTTCCAACTAATGATCAGTATGAAAAACCCTTACATCATCCGCGAGTTGGATCGGTTCTGGTTTATAGTACGACAACAGGTGCGTGACCCGTTTGCTTTGGGTTCTGAAGGCCTTTGTAGGAGCGGCTTTGGGGCTTACTTGATCGACATCAATTCCTTTAGGTACTGTAAAGTCCTGAGAAGAAGCCGATAAAATCAGATGATTAATGATCAATAAGGAAAAACAACATATTGATGAGGTGAACAACGATGAGTTTGCGATTGCTTACTGTCACCGTGGCCCGACCTTTACCTTTGCCTGTGGTCTTTCGAGCCTTTTTGGCTTGGGAAGGTTGGACGGGATGCAATTGGGCTGGGCGTTTCTTCGATTGAGGGGCAGGAGCTCGAGTTGGGGTATGATGTTCTGAAACTACGTCTTCTTCAAGTTCTGGATCCTCGTCGCCACCGGAAGAGTTGTTTTCATCTGCATCACTGGGTACATATAATGACCTACGCGAGTCGGACGAAGTGGGAACATAACCGGTATCGCGACGAAGAGGGCTAGCACGAGTTGATCGGCGAGAACGAGACTGGGAAGATTGAGGGGGTTGAGTCTGAGAGCTCTTAGGGACAGATAAATTGGAAGACATCAAATCAGCCAATTAAAGAATGGAAAGGTCGATAAAATATGTGATAGAGGAAGAAATAGAAACGATGAAAGAATATGGGAAGAGAGAAAAAATGGAAGAAAGAAAAGATATGATTACGAACCAGCGGTATCCTACCCCTTGCTTTAATTTCATCCCTTGCGTGTTTGAAATGATACCATCTCGATCGGGAAGAATGTTGACAGAAGTGTCGGCTTCTTACCATCTTGGAATTGATAAAGGTGAGGCTGAGTAATACCGGAGTGAACGTAGTCCCACTCCGAACTACGGTGGTGTACACTCCGAAAACTGTGACTGCGGTACGGTACCCCCCCCATACTCCTCGGGGTTTTCCACACTACGGTACGGTCGGACCGTAGTCTATCGCACCGTAGCCTACGGTGTCTAGACCGTACCGTACCGTACCGTCGCCCGTATTTCCCGGCGGTTCGGTTTGTGCGTTGCTACGTATATTTTTTGTGTCTAAAATGCGATGAGCTGCAATCTGCCCTCTTTTGTTCCAAACATATATGCATGGTCATGTATCACCTATTGAACCCATGTTATCTTCCATGACTCACCAGCCCAATGAATGATGAATGAGCCATACATTTCATATGTGATCATTTCGAGGTTCAAGGGCGTAACAATTAAGAGCACACACAGGGTGCATCACGTGGCTGACCACTTTGCTCCGCGCCTCAGATACCGAAGTAATGTATGGAGAGCTCGGCACAATTGATCATCCAGCATAAATTGGAGCACGGTTGCTTCATCTCAATTAGCCCCCACCGTAGTCAAGGCGGAGCTATCTTTCACAAACGTTTCGCCGAGCACAAGCGACAAGACCAGTTGAGTAAATAACGCTCTTTCTCTTGGCCCCGCGCTTTACCGAGCATCCAAAAGTAAAGACCCACATCTCATCAATCCTATCGCTTCCTCGATGAACGGCTGTGCCCAATTCATGTGCCCTGGGTCCCAATCATGCGGCACACTTACTTGCGGGATACGAAGCCGAGGCCCGAGCATAGCCCTATCTAGACTACAGATGATAGCTTTAGCTATTAAAAGTCCAGTCCATCCGCTGGTGGTTCTGAAGCAAACTTTATTCGGACTTTGGCATATCTTTTCAATGCAGACACCAGCCTATTTATCTCAGGCTACACTCAATTTTTAGCATGCATTTTTGACAGACCACATTTTCATTACACTTCTATATTCAGACCTGAGCGTCTGATTACACCGATAGCACATCAGCATTTATTTTATCCAGACGGCTGCACTTGTGATTGGAGTCCTGCCGCGTGTTTGTGGTTCAAAGATACACCCAAACTTATTGAATCTTCTAAAGGACAGCCAGGTGGTGGCCGTTGGACTTGGGCGACTTGTGCGCGCCAACGATTATGTCAGTGGCTTTGATACAGCGTGTTTGAACTTGATCTCATTCCGCAACCTCCTTCATATGTACTAACCTCCCCTTTCAACTACGGATCCCTGAACCATAAAAGCCGGGCCATAACAGCTGAAGAAAAGGAGATCAACTCCAGCATGATTGAGAGTAGATCAAGTACGCAATTCTTCCACCTGCAACCAGCTACCAATGGAAACGTGTCGACTCGGAGGAGTTCGCTTCCTGATCACAGCCTTTCATCCCCAACTCTAAACTGGTGAGTTTGCCTGCCCATACATGACCCCAGTCCTTTCGCTCTGGAAAGTGAGAAACTCACATTGCTTACTTCTTCAGCTCTCCAGCGTACATCAAAGGTGGATTCAGCCACCGCCGCGCTTCATCTGATGCTGCTGGATCATCATCCCTAGCCTGTCGAGCCGTTCAGCCAACCCGCTTTCTTGAGCGAAAAGGACCAAAACCTTTCACTCAGACTCCTATGTCTCTAGAAGCCCTCCAAACCTGCTTAACTTCGCTGACACCGAGCACAGGTTGCACGATGCCAGAGGACGAAGTACAGGGCCTCACCCTTCTTGAAAGTTTACATGCTTCGCGGCTGCCTGGTTTATCTCAAGATCAAAATCATGAATGTTCAAGTCGGGTATCCATCTATCGTGAAGAGTCGATGATGAAGTATTGGCTATCTCGAAAGCCTCACACGCTCGCTCACAAATCACCTCTTCAATCTATCGACGACATCAAAGATGACGGTGAAATGTGTCTCCCACTGGACCGGATGAGCCTTGCACTTTTTGACTTTGCATCAACCCCGAATCGACCACGAACGCCGCCGTCTAACAATGCACCGCTGCCGGCTGAGAGAAATGGCGGAAAAAGTTGGCGACTTGTTTCATGTGACTCACTCTCAACTCTCTCAATCAGCTTGGATGAATTGCTCAGTGAAGATGACGTGGCAACACCCTCGAGGATGAGCCTTCACGATAATAATTCGGCGCCATCAAAAAATTCAGCATATCCATTGATACAAGATCACACCGTTCGCAAGACATACGCATCGAAACCTGCTCGCTCGTTTGCCTCTCGAAGTCCGTGGCATGGTGAAAACCCAAAATATAGATCAAGGCTTTGGGATCGTAAGCCAAAGGAAATGACTCTTGATTTAAGACTTGTCTCATTCAAATATCTAAATACTAGATCTCCTAGCAATAAAGTTCGTTGGTGGAATTCTAGTGAAACTCCGAGCACTGATTCGGAAGCGAGGCGAATTGACGAAAAGGAATCGTATGAAAGGGGAAAAGTGTCAATTCCGGTGAACGCGGGCGAATATCCATTTCCGAGGATGAATCGTATTGAAAAGAAGAAAACGAAGGGTTTTGTTCACATGCCTGGATCACAAATTTCCATCAACTTTGAATGATTATGAGGAGGATATATATGTAATTGCAATTCTGTTCTCTTTTTTCTTCGCTGTTATACCACTTCACATGCACCTCATAAGAACACTTAACTTTTTTGTCCGAATCTTGTTTTGTATGCCACCCATATCCTATTTCAATTGGATTGTAACTTTGATCAAATGAGTGAAATGAAGACAATTAGATGCTGTCTTATGGGATTCAGAGGCCCGTCTGATCTGAAGATATTCCTCGCAAAACTTCGCAGCCTCTCTCATCAACAAGTTATCTATCCACCATGTTGAAAATCTTTTTTCTTCTCCAGAGGTCACTGGATAATAGCGTTGGTAGATAGGGAGTATCACATTATGTTCCCAAAAACCTGGGGCACAACTGGGGATATTAGCTCCACTATAGCTGACTTTGAGGCAAACACAGTGAGGAGGTACCAAATTATTGCCACTGTGCAGCCACTAGCATCTGTTGAAGGAGGATATGAGAGGGAGAAATTGGGACTAGCATAGCACATGAGAGGTGCATAAGCAAGAGAACTAGGGATCTTACCATACAATCAAAAATATTCATACCTCCATGAAGGAATAAAGCAGCTGCAAAAAGCAATCCTTTTTGTTCCTCCATCAACATACAAGCAAAATTTGCATTGGCTCATGAAAATGAATTGACAATTCCTTTTACTTCAATTTTACCATCTCAAAAAATATTCAAATATCACATTTCATTAACTCATATGAAAGTTGAAATCCGACTCAAAATGAGGCATCTCATTCAGACTATTGGATATTTATGGAAAGGTACTGCATCACCTCATGTCATTAGCTTGGCAATAAAGAATTCCTGATGAGGAAAATCTGTCTAGAAATCAGCATGTACAAATTGCTTGGCAGTGTTTTATTTGTGGTGGATGCATAAAAGTATTCCAGTCTGATACATCAACTAGAATGGCTATGAAGTCTAAGTCTTCAAAGCTTTGCCTTGAAGGTGTTGTAATTGAAAGATCAAAGACAACATAAATTTCAGTCAAATAGATCTTGTAGGAGCAATAGGATCTGGAGAATGATTTGGGATGTGTTGAGTTGTCAGTGAGGATGTTTTATAAAGATGTTTTATTTGTTCAAGCAAAACCACATAACAAGCTAATAGAAAATAACAACAGTGATTAGTTCATACCTGATCAGATCAAAGACAATATATGTGAATATCAGTCAGATAGTTCTGGTAGGAGCAATAGGATCTGGAGAATGATTTGGGATGATGTTAAGTTGTTAGTGAGGAAGTGTAATAAAGAGTACTTAAGAAAAATGGAACCTCCTCAGATCAGGAGATGATAAGCTAAATCACAGATGAGCTAAATTCACCAATGCATTTTGTGGTCAGGTTAAACTAGACAAGAGGGGGTGAGTAAAAAGCCTGGACAAATTACATAGTGGACGCGCACAAAATAGAAAACAGAATAACATAGGATATCAAGCTAGTGATTTGGTTTTGACAGCTTGAGCCATAGAAGCTGTCATGTACACGCATACCACCACACATACTACCATTGGGCAAATCTAACCACAGTCTCTAACTTAACTAAGTCCCTCTTGGACGAACAAGTAGTCGAGAGAGGGACTTATACCTTATACCACAACTTTGGCGTATGAGCCGGAGAAGTTTGGCTGGGCACCTTTTCAATCTTCTATATCTCTATAGCCTACAAACAAATATCCTCTGCACCTGATCATCCTACACACGCACATCTTTTCAAATCCCTTCTTTGCCGCCAGGGAAGCCCTTAAAAACCGACTTGAAAAATTGTTTTTGTGTAACATTTCAGCGCGTTTGGTGTGAGCTTTTGACAGGCTGGACAGCTTTCTGTCTGATTTTGGTGATTTTTGCAAACTTCACAATTGCATTGCTCCGTGAGTTCTCAATCAAATTAGATGTAGGCTACACACATGTGTGTAGATTAAGCAGGCCCATAGCTCTTTTCTTTGGTCCCAAGGACATTTGTTTGCAGGATCCACAGATATGGCGCGTTGAAAAAGTCCCCAGCCAAATGTTTCCGGCTCATCCGCCAAAGATGTGGTATAAGGTATAAGTCCCTCTCTCGACTACTCGTTTGTCCGAGAGGGACTTAGTTAAGTTAGCCACAGTCTGCTTCAGACGAGTGAGAATTTAGAAATGGGCTACATAGTCAGAAGTCACGTGTATGTATTCGGGTCACGGGTGACCCGAATTGAAGTTTGACCCGAGCTGAAGTACTAAGTGCATAGAGTTAGGGTTGATTTGATTGGTTGGAACTCGGAAGGAAAAAGGAGAAAAAGGGTAAGAATCAGATGCTTCATTCCTCCCTGTTGACCATTGACCATCCTCGATTATTGATTTCTCTTAAATCTTTTCACATTGATTCCAAAAAACCAAACTTATCTTATATCACCTTTGATTGAACTCTTACTATGGATGCTGAGCTCCCAGATCATCCTTTGTCATCTAATCACATCATGGAACTCGACTATACCCTTGACGCCGATATGGTCTCTCCTGATAGATTCGATTGTGAACTTCAATCGGATTGTGATCAATTCATGGCTTCTATTCAATCCACTGATCCTCAAGAAGTTGAAATGACCGATGACTACTCATCGGCTCCTTTCGAACTTGACTCTTGTCAAAAGATAAACGTATTGGCGCCCATTACTTCAGAACTCCCAATCAACGACTTCCCCACATTTATCGACTCCAACTTATCGACTTACGGAAGGGACATTATAAATCTGCCTCCCTCTTCCACTTCCGATCTCACCTCATCCCTTTCAATGGGCATTGAAAACCCTGTCGAGATTGAACCTGTGCACCTTCCTACATTCGACTCACAAGCCTTTTCAGTTCAAACTTCGGTGCCCTTGGTACAACCAGCGGAGCCTGTCCGTGCAAGTGATGAACCCAAGCAACTCGAGCGTGATTCCGCTCCAATTCTCAACGATCAAAATGCAGCAGTGACTGATGAGACCTTTGAACAAGCTTCTCTATCTGACGTCGTATCTGGAACCGGTTCAACTTCCGAGGCTGAGCCTCACGTTGCGCCTCACCAAGATGAAGCCCACTCAATCATTCAGCCTACTGCTGAAGCACTGTCCTCACTGGCCCAGGCCGAGGACGGTGAGCAGAGCGTCACCGTAGCAGACGAAGTGCCCCCAGACTCTCTTCCGCTGCTTCCGCAATTGACAACAGACGTCCAGACATCTATCGAGGAACCCATCGAGTCACTGAACACTGATGAAATTACTGCCGTTGATGAGAGCCTCGAATTACATCCAAGACCTCGAATTGACCTCCTTGAACACGTCAGAACGGAGTTCGAGGTACTTGAAATCATCGACGAAAATACTCTTGACCCACAGGAGCAAATGATCAAGCAAGCCCCCTGCATTAGATTATTGTGCGAAGATTGCGAGTATAATGTATTTCAACGCTTGTCTGCCTCAAACTCATCGAACGACCCCAATCCAGAATCCTGTCCAGGCGAAGAACCTCTATTATTGGGTGAATTGGCGGATCAAGCAATCTACTTTGCTCCGCTCGGGGACTTCATTGAGACTCTTCGTCAGATTTTTCCCGATTTTACTCAGACTGACCACAGCGAACTTGTATTGAGCTTTCCCGACCTCGAAGCTCGCATTCCTGAGGTAAGCCACCTCACTCGAGTGCCAACGTCCTTGCATCCTGCCCCTGTTTGTCACATTCTCACATGCTTGGTTTGCATTGCAGGATAATGTATACACTCGCGAGCTTTCACTTTTTGATATAGATCGCCTTCATGTAGGCGCCAACCTCCCCAGTCGACTTTTGGTCAGCTTAGAGAAACAGCCCAGGCTCATCCATCGATTCAACGTCTTGGCCAAACATGTATGGAAGCAAAGTAGGATTTTTCTTGCTCGTGGTCACGGATGACAATATTGATTGAATTTTCCCCCTCAGATTTAACAGAACCTTTGGACGCGGAACAAGGCGACACGGAGGAAGACTCTTGCGAAGATTATGAAGCTGAACAAGCTCCGGAGCACGTTGATCTTGAAGACGCAACGATCACGGAAGGGCCTCTTGCTAGTGTTGAAGAAGTTTTAACTGTGGACGAAGACACAGTAGGTAAGGCACATGATGCTAGTAGCTCAGCTGTTCATTTGGACCCACCTATGATATCTGAGGGTGATGTGGGCTCTGATTTACCCGTGACACCAACAAATGGATCAACTGAACCTATTCAGTTGATCGATGTCTCCATACCGAGCAATCATGTGAGTTTGCTATTGTTCATCATCACTTGATCCGCAACCCACAAAGTCCTCGTCATTTACCCCTATATGTTATATAGAACGTAGCAGAGCATGACAATGAGGAAGATGATAAGAATAAACACGTGCAAGCTGATTGTGTCGTCAAAGATACTTGCACCTCGTCATCGCAATCCGCCCTTCGTGATTCAGCACGATCATTACATCTCGATAATAGCACGCCTGATTCGGCAGAATGCCAAGATCAGCATTTCGATGGGATGGTCAAGGACTTTCCGAAATCAGTTTTAACTCCGGTTGTGCAAGGTCATTTTGTAGCCGAGAACACCCTTGAGTCTGATCTGCGAGATGATCAAACCGTTGACTGCGACAGTCCTACCGACAAAACTGCTGATGGTGAAGAACTGGACTCGGTTGAAGCAAGTGAAGAGGCCTTGAAGAACCCCACAACCGGAGCCACGCCGGCTGACAAGCTAGAACACCCAGATGAACTCTCAGTACCACACTCCAATTTGAATCAGGAGGCCGCCGAACCTGTCACCTCGAAGTATCATTCTGTTGATGACGATGAACTAATATCAAATGGGACGGTTCTGGGCTGTGAGGGCTCCGATGATGACGTAGAAGAAATCACGGACGCACGATTTGACACAATCATCGACAACAGTCCGCTACTGAATTCTGTCACCTCCAATTCGAATGACCCTGCAGCTGTCAGCCTTGCCAAACAGCCCTTCATCTCTGGTGTAGTTAGTTCTGCCGATCTTTCTCGTTCCCCAAATGAAACGAAGAAACGACCTGTCGATTACGACAATGATGCTTGTTGCACTCATCAAGACGAAAACGATGGAGGTAGTCCACAATCCGGTATGTAGTCTATCACAATGGCTCAATGTTGTTGTCAACATTTGACTCATCCCCTTTCGCACTAACACCGCAGATACCAAACGAGTGCGGACGTTGTGAACTGATCAATCAAGTCTTCGCGTGCTGCTACCATCTTTTCTTTCCTCTCTCAGTCATATCTCATATATTTAGTTTATCTTTATTTTAAAACGAAGGTTCGTATGGACATTCCCAGTTTCTTCACCAGGCAAGTACGGCGTCGATTGTCCATCCTTTGCCCAATCATACTACAGAATCTCGACACCATTTTCCTCATTATCCAGCCTATTCCCAAACGCAAGCCACTTTCAACGCGCGGAATCCATCACAACCTCAAACCCTGCGGTTTCGTACCATCTAATCTCGATACGGGCACCCCCTTGCCTATTTTCTGCCCTCGCCGACCAGAAAGCAAAGCTTGAGCAATATCTCTCAGCCTAAGTCTTGTCCGGGCGTTTCCCAGAGCGCTATCTGGTGAGAATGATATCGGCACCTGACTCTTCAAGACAGTACCGATGTATTCCGGTTGTACCAGCAGCCATCCCTCCTGGGCTTTGAGACTCCGAAAATCTAGCACTCTGATCGATTTTCGGCGGGTTATCTCATTGTCTCCCTGCTAAATAAATGGCTACCATATCATGCCACTCAAGACTGATCTCTCCCGCGTTATCACTGGATTTCCGTCACGATCTCACAACATCTTCAATTTTCCACCCATTATATCGCATTTACTGCCATAACAACATGAAGCACGCATCCTGCCAGCTCTGAAGACCTTGCTTTCAAGATTTGCCTTTTTCCTCCATGCGGCTGTTACTAATGCTCCAGATTTTATCCCCGTAGTGCCTTCTTTATCCTCGTAGCTTACAGATCCGCACAACAAGAATGAAATTGGACACGCCAAAGCCTAAGCGTTTTCACAAGATTTAGGTATGTTTTTTGACCCAGACCGACGAAGCTGATATTACATTTTTATTTTTGAGATTTGCGCGATGATTGGTAATTGAGATGATTCAATACAAGCCCTTGAAAAATCAGAGCTAAGGTTGTCAGTAGTGTGATTGGGTTGAAATCGCCGATTCTGTCAGTTTGAGCGGGATAAAATAGTTGTAATGCTATTGGTAATTATACTTGTTAAATTTGTACGGACAATACTTTTTGCTATTTTCACGGAGGAAGAGGCTAGCTTTGGGGATTATGGTAGATCTACTCTTATGAATGTCAAAATAAGCAATGAAAATCAACAAGTAAGCCTTACAAGCATCCGTTCAGTTATGGGTGGCACTACAGACATAACGCAGGATCCAGACTATTGTTTTGCCATCGATTTGTGTTTTTCCTGTTGGATTTACCATCCGTTGATGCTTCAAAATCAATCACTGAGTATGATCATTGTAGAGCGTTTCATCAATTATTTGTAAATTGATTTCTTTTCTCTTTTTGTGCAATCACATGTCAGTATTACACCATGTACCCCAATGGTAGGATATTGCGTCACTGATCATCTGACGTCACTGTGATTCATTTCATTGATTGTTTTTCCTTTATAATTACCTGATCCTCAAAGTCGTGTTGGAACTTTTTCTTTGTCTCCATCTGACTGTATCTTTCGACAATCTTATTATAAGATCTGATTTCACTTTGGTTCCTCTTATACTGTTTGTGTTTGGTGTTTGGATCCAGTCCAACATTTCCTCTTCAGTGTCCTCCAAAATGTTTGTAGCCAACCATGCGAGTCACAACAGTTCTCACTTTGATATACAGAAGACTCTTCATGTAAAAGTGAATCTGATCTTGAATTTCTACATCACTCAGTTTGTTGACCACATTGGTGTAAAGGATTCTATCAATGTTCAAATTGGTTCTCTCAAAAAATTACTACCGTGATTTTTGTAAATTTTCAATGACACACCCATTGGGTTATACGGATGGTAATCTCACTTGACGGTGAAGAGCCTAGCAAGAAAAAGTTAGTCGCCGTACTTAAACCGATGGAAGGAAGGGATTCTCAACGTCTAGAAGCCGTTTGTAGAGATCTTGACGTGCGAAATAGGACGTCGAATCTGGTGAAGTGGTGAAGGATTTTAGCTTAACTAAGCTAAAGGAAAAAATGTTGCGCAAAAATGTGCTCATGACATGTATGGCTCTTCACTTATCTGTTAAACTCGCGTGGGATCCAGATTGTATTGACAAGAAAATGTTTCCACCTGTTTCCACCCTTCTCAGATGGGCTCACTTTTTTTAGAATCAATTCTTTTTCGAACGCCTTCTGCTTTAGCTTTCAACCCAACGCTAACTATACCGAGGACTTGTGGATCATGAGCGGTATCGCAGGAGCTCGCGGGCAGGAACTCTAACAGTTCAGCAGCCTTGGTGCGCCATCTTCTACATTGCAAACCTGGCTAGTCATCCAAGTTTTTTAGATGGCCTATACCTGCTAGATGGTCTAAATTGTTGAGATGGCTAGCAGGCTCCAGACTGATGAGAAGGGCTTCACATTATGGAAAGTTTAGAACAAAACCCAGTGAGCGTTAGATGGGTTGACCCCTCGTCAGCACTTCTTACTTTTGACTTCATCTCATGCCCGGAGCAAAAATATAATAAGGCTAAATTCCGTCACCGCTTTCCTCCTTGATTCATTCTATACCATCGAAATCACTTTGCACCGTCGAGATCAAGCATCCTTCAATCAACACCTAACGCAATAATCTTCTTTCACCACCAGATTGCTGAGCAATTTGATCTTCTTTTCTCAAAGTCAGCCCGATGAATCAACTTGGCTTGTGTTTCTTGGTGTCTTATCTATCATCAAGGGCGAGTGCGATACCAATCACTTCAGCCTTGAGCGATCTGTTGAATGGTCCTCTAGCAAGTGCTCTCGGGCAGCCCGACTTAAGCTCCCCACTATCCCAGCTAATCCCCTCGTCAGGAACGAGTCGGAAGGTGAAAGACGCGGATGACACAGTCTGGTACCTACCTTCGAATTTTACCATGGATAATTTTGATATCACTCAATGGGCCTGGGGAAAGAAAAATTTACAACTAATGACATCAATACCTCAATCGGATTTAGAAATTAATAATATCTCGATGAACAATTCTAACTTGAACTCGAATAATGATACCGTCATGCAAGTCTTATATCCTAAAGGTTCTGCCAATCCTGATCGAAGGAATAGCGCAAGTCCAATAGGAGGGATTGGTTTTTACGCTTCACCTCGTAAGTTTTATTCTCAAACTATTTTTGTTCTCCATTTTTAATCGTTTTCCTATCTACCTTACCATAATATCGTTGACTCATTTCTGAATTCACACTCTAAAAAAATCACTTGTGAAACTTCAGTCGATTTGTCAAAGGCCACCAATGTTAGCTTATATTACAGCGTCTTTTTTCCAAGCAATTTTGATTTCAACAAAGGTGGAAAGCTTCCAGGTGGGTACTTATACCTCATCTTATTTGGTTCATTCTTCTGATTGGTTGTCTCCTGAATAAATCAATAGGTTTATATGGCGGTGGGACAGGTTGCTCTGGTGGTGTAGAATCCGATGAGTGCTTTAGTACTAGGCTCATGGTTGAGTTCATTTCTCTCACCTGAAATATAAAATGCCCTGTCATTTATCCTAGAGTTGCATATACTCATGTTCTTTCTTCGTTTATTATATTATTTTTAGTTCAGGACCAATGGAACCGGTGAGCTATATCTTTATGCACCTAAAGGTCGACAAGTTCCGTCTCTATGTCAAACTCCACCACTTTCAGATTGTAATGCGGAATACGGTTATTCGATTGGTCGAGGTGCATGGAACTTTACTAGAGGCGGGTGGACAAATGTTCGACAAGATATTTGGTTGAACAATGGTGAAGAGAATGATGGAGGTTTCAATATTTGGATCAATGGTCAATTGGCCTTACATTCCGATCAAGTTTATTATCGGCATCCTGTTGGATCGGTCAAAGAAACCCCAGCTAAAGCAGATAAGTCAAAGCAAAAGTCAACGGAGTCGTCGGAGTCGTCGGAGTCATCAGACCCATCAGAATCATCAGAATCACCAGATTCATCAGATTCATCAGAATCGAGTTTGAATTCCACCGGTGGTACTAATCTATTCTTGCGCCAAGTCAGACCTGATAATAGCTCATTCGTCTCACCTACCTCACTTGGACTTCCTCATCCAATAGGAAAGAACTTTTCAAGTGATTATAACCAGAGTTCAAATTCCGGTGGAATGATTTCAACTTCAACTTCTCCTTCTAATACTCATCTCTCTGGAACCTCACTTGGCCATGCAAAGTTAGCTAGGAGATTGAATATCCAGCGTCGAACAGCTCTTAATTTAATCATTACCCCACCTCTTAATAATTCTGCCACTCCGGAATTAGTCCAATTACCTGCGACGAATCAAACGGATCCAACTCAACATCCGGTCGGAGATCGTGAAGACGCTTACTCTCAAGCTATTTCAGGTATCCGTCGGCAGACTATGACAGTAAGGAAGGAGTCAGCTCAATTTATGGGTATCATGGCTGATACATTCTTTGGTGGACATGATCCTTCTTGGGCATCAAGTAAGGATCAGTATACTTATTTCAATAGGTTTGGTTTGGTAATCAGGTAATCAAGTAATCAGGTCAAACTTCTTGTCTTCTGTATATCTACTTTTTATTGTCCTCTTTAATGCATTTCTTTGGGGCTGTGAGTACTTGTGGATAGCAGGAGAAAGGATCTATCACATATTTTAAATTTAACAAGGGACTCTTGAACGTTGATTTTGTTCAATTCTATTTTTTTGTATCAATCTCTAGCAATAATATATGTGAATAATATCCTGACTCATTTATATGAAAATGAGAGATGGGAGCTGATCAAAAACAATATTAGGAACAATAAAAGGAACCAAGTGATCCGATATGTTGAATTGGCGCTTCCTCATTATTTCTACACGATAAATTTCAGTTTGACTGAGACCATGAATTTACGGAAATTGTCTTGGCATTTGCGCTTCTACAAAATCAACGCAACAATTTGACTGCTGATGAGAGCCTTTTTGAGGTATATAGAAGTTTTGTAGAAGAATTCTATGGAAGAACAAAATGCACACCTTTCTTTATGAAAAAGGAAGAAAGAAGTATAGAAAGAAGACCAAACGGCCCCCGCAAATCTTCGAGAACGCGGTAAACGCGCTCGGGCTTAGTGAAGCCTAAAAAAGTCAAATCCTCACATACAACATCTTATCTCTCGAGTTCTCGCGATTCCCTTGCGGCACCACGTGGGGCTATTGAACATCAATGCTCACGACATTTGAAGGGACCACAATTGAACAGAATACTCACAACTTGCCACGGGCTTCCTATGTAGTGAACACTCACGCCTCTTTGTACAAGCAGACGCAAAAAGTTTACGTCACCCCCTGGGCCCGACCAGTTCACTAACCCGAGAGGTGTACTGCAGAATCAAGCTGGTCGGGGCCCGGGGTGACGTAAACTTTTTGCGTCTGCTTGTACATGACTGTTTGACTTAATTCTCAGTTTCAAACATGTAGAAATCATCGCCATCTCTCAGTCAACAAGGGGTTCCGCAGCGATATGCTCAGATAGGTGCGTGTTTCCTTCTCGTGTTGCAACTTGCACCTAAGCAAGCTGTCTATATTTGCGGCGAGAATCTTCTATAGGAAAGCGTGTATGGAGAGAACAGACAGGTCAAGAGATCAAAATTTCCTGTCTATCATATGACCTGGCGTCGCGCCGCCAGCCGGGTGACATGTCAGATGAGGCTCTGCAAGATGTGAGGCTAGGTAAGGCTATACATACATGTGGAGGAGAAGGTTTGGGGTCCACAGCTACTACATATTGCAAAAATGAAAACTCAACATGATCATCCCGATTCTTTTAAGAGACTCCTTTAATAGAATACGTGGAAGCAAATCACGGAAGTAACACACCTTTACATAGAAATGAACAGGGATGCAGCTTGTAGAATCAGATGGGGTCTGATCACAAAACACAAAAATGCTCACATACTAAATATATCAATTCGACTTGAGCCGACTTGAGCCGACTTGAGCCGATGGCCTTGCGGCTGAAGGACACTGTTAAGCTCCGAACCTACATAGTCATACATACTGTCGTTCTCGAAAAGCTTGTCCGAGTTTTCCCGCAAAACTTGAGCAATTTGGCGGGAAACCTTGGACAAGCTTTTCGAGAACAACAGTAAATACAAAGCCAGCAAAAACGGCGCCATCCACTGGCGCAGCAGATGACGAAACTCAAGCTTTCAAGAGTATATGTAAGTGAGAGTAACTCTCAATGCAAAAAGTTCTAAAAGTAGCACTTGGCTGTTGAGTAGAAGTTGCATCGAGTTTGTAACGGTGAACTGGCGAATGGATGTTGATCAATCAAGTGTTCAGCGCTGTTCACAAGATTTGAAGCCGCTCTCATTATCTCATGAGGTCATCGATCACATCGATCACGATAAATTATAATTATTCTGTATGTACCGGTTCTTATTCCCGGAATCCCGATGCAATCATGGTATACACATACATTTGTATGGTACATAGAGAGCTGAGAGCAGTGAGAGCACAAATTACAATTGATATCGTGTGCTCGCGCTAATATTACGTACTACAAAGTTTAAAGGAACTGAGAAACAACACGCAATTGAAAAACGTATGATCAGCTTTGTACTCCGGTACATATGTATGTAGGTAAAACCATGCATGTGGAGTTGGGAAGAAATTTATAAAGGGCTTCAATGCCAAGAATAAGAGCTCGATTGTTTTTCTTACCTCCTGAATGGAAATTCCATTGAAAGCTGAGTAGATTTTTTCCCCTCCTTGTATTCTGATCCAGTGGCCCAAACCCACCATTTTAAAGGAGACCCGAGTCTTGGCTATATGAATTGCGTGTTAAAAATGGCTTCTTTGGGTGGGGCTCCGGTGGACTCCGGTGAAAGTGTGATTATGGAAGTCAACAAGACCGGCCGGAATGTGGCTTGGCTGTTGATTCTTTTTTCACGGTTCTTAGCAGCATCCTACCGCATGCCGGTGGCGCCGATGGTGAGCTTTTGTTGTATTGAAAAGATTTAATCAACCGAGCTCGAATCATGATGTTATCACATGATCGAGTTAGCTGTGAATAGCTGTGAATGAAAGATGATTTCTTCTTTTTGATTCTTAACAATTGCCAACTTCAAACCGGTTCAAATTGGTGGAATCCAGTGAATCATAAAAATTAATAGCTTGAGATTTAGATTCTATGTAGAAGACCAAGAGATTAAAATTGGACTTGAATTTCTACTGAGCAAGATTTAATTGAACCGACCGAAGTTTTTCAAGATAAAGCTGTCACCTCAAAAGCTCTTCCGAGCATCGCCGACCGAAAAAGCTCAGGTGATATTTTTAAATTTCACTTGTTCAAATTAAAAAAAAAACTCATTCGATCCTCATATACATATATAGAGATAAGCCACAGACGTCGAGAGCGGTGCACACCAATCATCTTCGCTGTGATTGATTCTAGAACACTTCATTTTGATTAAGTCTTGTGAAATATTCTTATTCGACAGAATCGCATCATCATACATCTATATAACAATCCCAAATCGAAATCATCTTTCCCGATAATCACCAATCCACAGCATCTTACTACATTTTGAGTAGCATTCTGAGCGATTGTCTTGGAAAGGCTTTCATCGTCTTCAGCTGACCTTTGACTGTTACTCATCTCAGTGTAAGCAAATCAGGCGACGAGTCTGACTTTTTTTAATCCTGTGAAATTTGGTTGCATAGACTGATTTGTGTTACTTCTTATAAAGCCAACCCTTACTTTGAATTAGTTCCTTTCGAAGATTTGACCTCCACTTCTTCTGATTAAGATTAATCAAATCGCATCTAAGCCAAACTCAAATTCAGAATAAGAAACCCTTGATCGAATCTAGAATTGGTTCAGAGACAACGTCATCATTAATAAATAACAACAACATCATCGAAATTGTTATTCTCCTTATAAGAAACCTATCATCGAGCAACTTACCTCCAAGTCTACTTTACTACTTCACTCATCATGTATCTTGACTTATCAGAAACAATAAACTCTTCGAGGTCAGTCTCATTGAGGTTCATCAAATCAGTTCTTCACCTTTCCTAATCTTTCTCTTTTGACTTCTTTTCTTACGTGTATACCAGTTCAAAAATGCTTTCACCAAGTACTGCTCCATCTGAATCATCGGTCTCTTCATCTCAATTGAGTACAAAAGGTGTCAAACCTGCCCGCTATCTCGCTCGGGTTGGTCCTATGCCATTCTCACCAACACAACCTAATAGCCAATTATGTGCTTCACCACTTCAATCGCCTTCGGCTTCATCATTCGAGCTCTCACCGATCACGATTGCTAGTTCATCACCATTGACCAAATCCAATTTGGCTATCCTTACTTCCCTAAACTTGAACCCATATCCTGAACCAATGGATGAAGTTTCACATTTCTCTGATGACTCGGAAGATTCAGAATCTACCGTTTCAAGTTTCAGAGAACCTTTGTTCGATGAAGAACAAGATCAGGATACAATAACAACAAGTTTACCTAGTTTTTTACAAACCTGTGAAGCGATTGGATCATCACATCAGAATAAACCGTCATCTAGAAATCATACTCCTAGTTGTTATCCAATCTCCAATCAAGAATCGGTTGTAGGACGTAATGAATATCCTTTTCCAATCTCAACTTAAACCTCAAACTTTTGATTTTTTCTCAAACTAGATACTTTCGATCACAGCATACATTATTACATTCTGATTTGTCCTCCTATCTGTGTATCATGTATCACGACTTATCCTTTTTCTTCCGTTCATCAGTATTGTTCTTTCAACATCTCATTGTACTTTTCTTGGATGATGCTTATCTAATAGACTTTGTTTCGTGCGATCTTTTCCTTAAAGGCTTTTTATTATCCCTGAACACTATTTATTTCAACTTTTTATCCCTGCTCACTTCCTTGAATTCTGCCTGCTTTTAAATGTGCACTTATTCATGTTAATGACTGATTTTGTTTATCGAGCTCATCACTTCTGTATTTATGCATAGTCTACATTACATGCTGCTCTATTGTTTTGATTTTTTTCTTTTATCGAATTCGAGTCAATCGATTCAGATCTGTGTTGAATTTGATAAGTTTGTTTTAAAGAGTTGATCTTTTGATATCACTCACCAATCAAGTTTCTTGACTTGTTTATGATCTGTTGGTATTTAACTTTGTTTTTTTCAACTTATCTAATCTCTTTCTTGGATGAAGAACTGTAGTATTCCCCAAAAGATCGAAATGATATATATGATTCGTCTTCAGCTAACATTCATTTTTTCAAAAATGTATGGCGGAAATGTTTTAAACCAGAACACTCACAAACATAAGAAACGTAACATATTAGTTAGGTGTGATGACTAAAAGCCCCTTGGTACACAAACCAAGAGACGATAAATTTCATTCATTCCTAACCTAACACCCCACGGGGTGGCTAGCGGACACATAAGTTAAAACAATCACGCTAAGATGATAACCTTTTAACAAAATGTGAAATGAGTCTTAAACCTAATATGGAATAACTGTAGCAAACTTTTTAAAGTAGTAACCACAAATTATCCTGGATAAATATCTTGAATAAAAGAATACTTGAACAATACACAACTTAATAAACGCCTAAAACTAATAAACTCCTGAACCAAAATAAAATAAGGGAGGAGTGGGTGGGAAGAAAAAATTTCTTTGAATGATAAGAACGATGTTTGCGAGTGAGATGTTAAAGAAAAGATGTTATCGAAAAGGAAACGGTAAAGAAGAAGTGGTAAACGAAGAATGACGTCAATCAAAAACCAACTTCTATATGATAAAATCCGACCCGTCAGATAACATGTAATGTAAATAGCCCTGTTGTTTTAACATTCCTATCTGTTAATAACAAGTGACCAACTTCAAAAAGAAGCTGCGTGAGGAGTCTGATGGAGTATACATGCGTACACCACGGGGCTGACCCGGCCCCGGGCAGGACATCGTCGAGGATGCTGCCGGGCAGCACCGGGCAGGCCCTGGCTCCGGCCAGCCCTTTTTAAGCCTGTTTGAGAGCTTAGGACGGATGCTTGATGACGTCAATTTTTCGAGAAAATTCCCTCAACAAGCCTTCAGCAATGCCTCCACAATTTTTTTTTGATGGCCTCGGCCCCAAGCAGCCCTGGAGCGGGGCCTTTCTCACTATTGCCAGGCTGGACTTAAGGCCCCGGGCTTGGCCTTGACCTTGCCCAAAAAACTCTTGGGCAGACTTGGCCGGGCAGGGCCAGGGCCGGGTCATAGCCATACCACAGGGTGAGTGTGACGTGACATGAACTGGGAGCTATTCATCTCAGACACCTCTTGTTTTCTATTCAGTTTAAATAAATGTGTCTGAGGTGTTCCTAGATGGGATACCACAGATACCATGGGGGACTTTGAGTCAGAATGGTGGCCTACAATGGTCAGGTCAGGCTCTAGCCCACCACTTGTCTGCAGCTCACCTGTGGCCAGCAGGGCGCCCTAGGGAGGTCTGTTCTCCTTGGCTTCACAAGGTGACCATGTGGTCCAAGGGTGGGGCAACTGCGGCCGCCAACAGCTCGCCTGCATCATAGCTGGTTGACTCAGGTTTTGCACGCGCAGGGCGACACAATCACCCTGAATTAATCAACACCCATTCTGCTGACTTTCTTGATGAGACTCCTAAAGAGGAAATTCTTGTTGAGCAAACATGTTTGCATTGTCTCCAGCAGTTGAATAATCAATCCCCTGTGTTCCAGGATTCCATCCACCCTTTTTGCACGACCACTGAAGCAAAATCTCTCTCTCAACTCGATCACTCACAATGAATCCCTTTGTTTTGATACACCAATCTCATTATCTCCCATTTTCAAACCAATTGAAACTTGTTTTGAAGGCTCAATTTGAAACAATTTAATCTCAAGCTGTGCAATATCCACGTCTTCTCAAACTCACAGCAACCATATTCAACCATATACTCCAAGGTACACTTTCTTTTTTTTGGTTTCCTTTGACCAAATTGCCAAACCATCTAACCCGCAATCTCCTAGGGGGGGCATTTGTTGGCAGCTCTGCAAACCACACCAAACAGTGATTCATTCAAGGTTAAGGATTGATGAGAGGTGTAAGTTGCAATTTGCTACTCTCTTAACCTAGATCAGGCCAAACTGACTGTTCTTTCATCTTTTGTTTCCCTGTCCAGGGTAACAACACCAGTTTCATTGATTTGAAACATATAATGGTTCTTTCAAATCTCAACCAACTCTCAAATCCTCTCTACTTAACTCTCATCCGCTGACTAATCACCTCATGTTGATAGACAAAAGTCTGTCTTCCTACTTCACTATTCTTGATCATCCTAATATTTCTTTCCAGGATTGAGTTTTAGATGTCCTTCAACTTACCTTTCCCTTTCACTTGATTCATATCTTAATATAATGATCAAATCTCCCATTCAGCACAATCCCACACAATTTTTGGGAATACCAACATGTCATCTTACCCAAACAAGCAAGCACTTCTATCATTTAACCCAACATCAAGTTGTAAAATAGGAGGTGTAAAAGAAGCTTACCATTTGGTGTCATTTTTAGCTGGTGAAGTATCTACCAACAAATTGTTCGCCATGGGTCTGCACAACTAAATCATCATGCTCATTGAGCAAATGCAAATATTTGAGTTTCCGATTTTGTCTTTCTATTTCTCATTCCTGTGAAGCAATCAAAGTTGTACAAATATCATAATTATTGTATCTCAAAGGCCTTTTCTCCATATCTGTAACCCCCTTCTGAGAAATTTACAGGCTTTCATGCCTATGGCTCCAATGTCATCAGTTTGATTGAAACTTTCTGAACACACACCATTTGCCAATTTTGATTTTTTGCCCTATTTGAACAATTTTATTCATTTTCCCCAAAGTATAAAATGATGGTCTGCTGGCCATTTTGTGCCACTCTCGACCACCAAAAATTGGCATACAAGTGCTTATGACTCTGAGCCACTGAAATGGTGTGCTTAGGTCTGGTCAAGAGACACCTCTCTGGAAAACTGAAGTTGTCACAATTCTAACCAGCCCCACACGGTCAAAACCCCCCGGTGGTGTAGGGCTGTGAGCCTCTGTGAGCCGGCTTTGAGTCTGACAAGGCTGCCTTGTACTTTGCCTGGCTCCATTTCTATCTGTTGCTCAGTCTCTAGCAACGCTGCCACGATACGATACTCGGTATAGTATTGAGGATACCCGGTAAAGTATCTTTTTCAAGATACTGTCTCGAACACGTATTGGTACAGTATAGCCCAATAGGATACAATACTGGATACCGTATTGAATTCCAAGATACTGTTCCCGGCTGGTTTGGGTACAGTATCCTTGATACTAGGTACAATACCGATACGTATCTAGTATCAGTGTTTTTGACAATACCATTACGATACTGATAAAGTATCGCGTATCTTAAACAATACTGGTAAGATATTGAGTATCTTTACACAATACTGGAAAAGTATTGTGTATCTTTGACAATACTATTATAGTATCGAGTATCTTTGGACGATACTGGACAAGTATTTTGCTGTATCACGTATCCCAGTTGCTTTTGTGCTAAATAAGATACTGAAAGGTACTGAAAGATACCGGGATACTATCCAGGACCCCAACTGGTAAAGTATCGGCCGCGGTACTATACTGGATACGGTATCGGATCCCAGGATACCATGTCAGGACCCAGCGAGTACAGTATCGCCGATACCAATACTGAGTATCGGGGGTAGGATACTGCAAAAAAGATACGATACCAATACTTTACTATGATTAGTAAAGTAAAGGTGGCAGCGTTGTCTCTAGGACCAGATCAGCTCTTTGTAAGTTGTCTTAGAGCATCCGCACTTGTGTGTCAACTCAGGAGCGGTAAGGTAAAATTTAACACAGATGTGGGGCCATTCACACACCCGTGAGAAATTAGCCCCATGGTAGTTAATTTTTGGTCTATTTGTGTTAGCCAATTGATAAATTTAACAATTGGCTAACTGTGTTAACACAGATTACAGCTTGTTCCCAGCAACTCCAACCCCAATGGAAAAACAACCTCTGGTTCTGTGGTACAGGTTTCAACACTCCTGCTTGATACATATAAGGATTATTAAGAAATGAAGAAAAGTAAAGAAAATCATGATTTTGTGACTAGTAACTCTGGCCAGACCCCCAATTGTCAACAAGGGAGCTTATTGAGCAAGGAAACAGCCATGTAACAAGTGATACAAGACTGTTACAGGCTGATTACATATGTCTTACATATGTAGGTAAGCACTTGAAAATAGTAATCAAGGAGAGAATAGCAGAAAATACTGTGAATCCATGGCTACTGACAATAAAAGGGCTTAAAATAAACTGGTAAGGGCTTCTGAAGGTTGGAATGGACAGATTAGTTAATTGTTAAAGCTATGTAAACTTTATATATAATGTAAAGGATGAGGAACAAAAGAAAAAAGACAAAAGCAAGGGTTTAATAACATCTGCATGTGTAATGATCTACTTTTTAGTATGATTGACCTTTAGTTCCCATGATCCCTGATTCACCCTTGTAATTCATTCTATCACAACCTTTCCTTTTAGCACAACTAGACATCCCATCTTGGAGGCCATCACATACCAAGAAGATCAGTTTCAAATGAACAGCTACTAAGTTGGGTTCCCAGTCCAACTTGGTTGCTTGAACTAAGACTATACATGGCTTTTAGAAACATTATAATAAAACAAAGCACACAGGATCATCTTCCATACAGCTAGCAGTATTCTATGTGGTCACTAAAATATGGTTGGCCTTTTTGAGGTTTTTTGGGGGTTAGCCAGGAAATACTACCATATAGAATTCTTGGTAGGAGAACCATGGCGATCAATGTTTTTGCCTCTTCAGGCGACAAGCCTGAGGAGCACCTGTTGATTCTCCAAAGTTTTTGGAGAGTTGCTTATTCATGTGATGAAGGTGACTCTTGAATGAAGGTTTTGGGTCTAGCCATAGGCCCAACCACTCGACTTTCCTCTTTGCAATTTGACTTCACCAAACTTGAAGTCAAGATGGGTCTGTAAAGACACAATCTTGACCAGATGCAGAGCTTCTGGCAGTGTTGCTGAGTTTGAAATGAAAAAGGGCACTGGGGTAATCAGGCCAGTAGTGATTAAATTGGGTAACAGGCAACTTCTAACTACAAAGCTATAAATATAAGAACACGTCTGTGCACAAGCAACAGGGATTTGATACAATGATATCACAAAAAAGATGAATGAGTAAAATAG